AGGAATGAAAGTCAGTCATGGTAAGACAGAATACATGTGTATGAATGAGAGAGGGAGGCAAGTAGAACAGTGAGGTTACAGGGGGCTGAGGTCAAGAAGGTGCAGGAGTTTAAGTATTTGGGGTCAACAGTCCAGTGTGACGGGGAGTGTGGAAAAGAGGTAAAGAGGCAAGTGCAGGCAGGTTGGAGTGGGTGGAGAAAGGTGTCAGGAGTGTTGTGTGACAGAAGAGTGGCAGCAAGAATCAAAGGAAAGGTGTACAAGACAGTAGTGACACCAGCTATGCTGTATGGGTTAGAGACTGTAGCAGTGAGGAAAAGACAAGAGGCAGAGATGGAGGTAGCAGAGATGAGTATGTTGAGGTTCTCTTTAGGAGTGACCAGGATGGACAGGATTAGGAATAAGCACATCAGAGGGACAGCTCAGGTCGGCTGTTTTGGGGACAAGGTCAGAGATGCCAGATTGAGATGGTTTGGACATGTGCAGAGGAGGGATAGTGGTTATATTGGTAGAAGGATGTTGGAGATGGAGCCGCCAGGCAAGAGGTCAAGAGGAAGGCCAAAGAGGAGATATATGGATGTGCTAAACATGTACTTCATGCTAGACATGAAGTTAATTGGGGTGAGAGTAGAGGATGCCGAGGATAGAGTTAGGTGGAAACAGATGATTCGCTGTGGCAAACAACCGAAAGAAGAAGAAGAAGACCGTTCAGGAAGCCAGGACAACAAATAAACAATAAACAGGGACAAATAAGCTACATTTTCGATAATGACAATACCTCAAATCCTACCTGACATGTTCAAGCCAGAATATGGTGCAAGCCTGCCCTCCGTGGAGGACCTGTACACCACACGGGTCAAAAGGAGGGTGGAGAGGATCACTGCAGACCCCTCACACCCTGGACACAATATGTTTTAATTCCTCCTCTCTGGACGGCAAATCAATAAGTTGATAGGCTACATAAAGACGTTATTTCTTCCTGATGATCTTACAGTATTGTTCAAAATAATAGCAGTACAATGTGACTAACCAGAACAATCCAGGTTTTTAGTATATTTTTTTATTGCTACATGGCAAACAAGTTACCAGTAGGTGCAGTAGATTCTCAGAAAGCAAACAAGACCCAGCATTCATGATATGCACGCTCTTAAGGCTGTGCAATTGGGCAATTAGTTGAAAGGGGTGTGTTCAAAAAAATAGCAGTGTGGCATTCAATCAGTGAGGTCATCAATTTTGTGAAATAACAGGTGTGAATCAGGTGGCCCCTATTTAAGGATGAAGCCAGCACTTGTTGAACATGCATTTGAAAGCCTGAGGAAAATGGGTCGTTCAAGACATTGTTCAGAAGAACAGCGTACTTTGATTAAAAAGTTGATTGGAGAGGGGAAAACCTATAAAGAGGTGCAAAAAATTATAGGCTGTTCAGCTAAAATGATCTCCAATGCCTTAAAATGGAGAGCAAAACCAGAGAGACGTGGAAGAAAACGGAAGACAACCATCAAAATGGATCGAAGAATAACCAGAATGGCAAAGGCCCAGCCAATGATCAGCTCCAGGATGATCAAAGACAGTCTGGAGTTACCTGTAAGTACTGTGACAGTTAGAAGACGTCTGTGTGAAGCTAATCTATTTTCAAGAATCCCCCGCAAAGTCCCTCTGTTAAAAAAAAGGCACGTGCAGAAGAGGTTACAATTTGCCAAAGAACACGTCAACTGGCCTAAAGAGAAATGGAGGAACATTTTGTGGACTGATGAGAGTAAAATTGTTCTTTTTGGGTCCAAGGGCTACAGACAGTTTGTGAGACGACCCCCAAACTCTGAATTCAAGCCACAGTACACAGTGAAGACAGTGAAGCATGGTGGTGCAAGCATCATGATATGGGCATGTTTCTCCTACTATGGTGTTGGGCCTATTTATCGCATACCAGGGATCATGGATCAGTTTGCATATGTCAAAATACTTGAAGAGGTCATGTTGCCTTATGCTGAAGAGGACATGCCCTTGAAATGGTTGTTTCAACAAGACAATGACCCCAAACACACTAGTAAACGAGCAAAGTCTTGGTTCCAAACCAACAAAATTAATGTTATGGAGTGGCCAGCCCAATCCCCGGACCTTAATCCAATCGAGAACTTGTGGGGTGATATCAAAAATGCTGTTTCTGAAGCAAAACCAAGAAATGTAAATGAATTGTGGAATGTTGTTAAAGAATCATGGAGTGTAATAACAGCTGAAAGGTGCCACAAGTTGGTTGACTCCATGCCACACAGATGTGAAGCAGTTATAACAAACTGTGGTCATACAACTAAATATTAGTTTAGTGATTCACAGGATTGCTAAATCCTAGAAACAAAAACGTTTGTACAACATAGTTTTGTGTTTGTACAGTCAACGGCAGACACTGCTATTTTTTTGAACACACCCCTTTCAACTAATTGCCCAATTTCACAGCCTTAAGAGCGTGCATATCATGAATGCTGGGTCTTGTTTGCTTTCTGAGAATCTACTGCACCTACTGGTAACTTGTTTGCCATGTAGCAATAAAAAATATACTAAAAACCTGGATTATTCTGGTTAGTCACATTGTACTGCTATTATTTTGAACAATACTGTACATGAAAAATATTTTTGTCCAGTACACTTGTGTTGTTGGTCAGCCTGGAGCAGACTGTCCTGCTGCTGTCCTGTTGTCAGACAGACAGCTGTTCTGAAGACTTTAAACACACAGAACACGCTGCTTACATCTCACTTTCAGTGTGTTTTACCAGTTAATTGAGTTCACCAGATTAAAGGTTTTGCCAGGGTGGTTCTTTGTGGTTACTTGCCGTGGGATGCTACAGATGTCATTATCCTAGGTGTTCACATACTTTTTCCTCCAGCAAAACAATACCTTTAATTTTGGTGACTGGTGATGCTTGAAATTTGTCCATTTTTAAAGAGATAATATGGAAAAAAGAAGTGTTTTCATTTTTCTCAATAGAACCTCGTAGTGTGACCTTGCATTACAAAGCCTGAAGTTCGATGAGTATTATGAAGTTGTGGCATAAAACTACAATTCACTACCTTTCTAATATTTTTGTAAAGGTGCAGACATGGATGTGTGCCTTACAAACTATGGTCATTGCAACTACGTATCGGGGAAGCACGCCTGTATATTCTATGATGAGGTATGCACTTTTAATGTATTGCTTAAATGTAGAAGTATGGCATTGTACTGTGCCACATTTGACCCTCTCTGCCCATGAAATAAATGGAAATAATGTTGTTGGACATGGTGTAAATGGTTTACGTTTGCTCTTTTTTGTAGAATACCAAGCATTATGAGCTGCTCAACTACAGCGAACATGGCACCACAGTGGACAATGTCCTCTACTCATGTGACTTCTCCGAGAAAGCTTCACTATTTCCACCCAGCGGCCTGGTGGCTAAAGTCCAAGGCATCATCCGTGAGAACATTTTATTCTTGCACGTTAAATTAATGCTCTCTCAAGTATATTTAGCATTTGCAGTTTAGAGGGTCACCAGCAAGCCAAGTCTTCACAAGGTCAAATTTAACTCTACAAATAGTGAAAACAATTGTACAAAGGAGGCATCAGAGTATATCAGTAGCACAGTGGTCTCTGTGTTAGCTGTTAACACACACACAATGAAAAGGATCCTTTTTTATGCAACACAGAGGACAGGATGTTAACAGGACAGTTAAGACAGACTAATTGATGCAGCACATTAATAAAGACCAAAGGGATACAAAGTGCATATCTATTATGCGGAAGATTTTTTTCCTTGTAGAGTTGCAATCAGAAATATTCAACCCCCTTCACCCAAATTGATAGTACTGTGATGTTACTCACCATATACAATAAAAAGCCTCATTGTTCAGTAGCTCCCTCAGGTCACTGGTGATCAAGAGCTTGTTTGGGAAACGGTGCAATGCCCAGTGGTGTAGTTCACACTGAAGTTTGTCTGTCTGTTTACACAGTCTGTCAAGGAGTTGATGTCATCTCCATTGGTTTGACAGTATATTTCAGTCTGTGGGTTCAAAATGCCCCTGTAGCGTCATTACCTTCCTGTGACGGCATTCTTAAGGGCTAATAGTACTTGGTGAATATCCTCATGTATACAAGGACACAAGGGATGTGCCTGTGTTCCTATTCATACTTCAAATTGAGGGTTTGCCTTCTGTCTGTGTACACTGATACTTTCCAAGCATGGTGGTACACATGCTTGTTGTCCAGTCCACATGAATATAAAATTTTGGCCTGCACAAGGGTGACCTCGGACAATGACGGAAGTTATGTCACTAGACTGCAGCAAATGCACAAAGTGTGATTAGCCCTTTACTGTTCTTGTGCTGTTGGACAATGGATGTGTAGATGGGGGTGAAAAGTACCAGGTTGTGGTCACTGAAAGTTTATGCATGTTTCAGGTTTCCATACAATAGACCCAAAGTTTTATTTGTTCTTGTGAGGCAGTCGACAAACTGATAAAAAGTTGGCAGTGATACAGAAAGTGAAGTGTTGTTAAAGTCTCCTGAAATGACCATGAATGCATTCAGGTGTTGTGTGTAGTCTGGTGGTGATGGGAGTTAATGACATCACACTCTGTATCGACAGCCTCTGATGGCAGAATGTAAACAGTGACAACAATGGCACATGTGAACTAGGGGTGGGAGGGGAAAAAAAGATTTACACAAGATTCATGATTTATATTTTCTGCCATTCTGAATCAGTTCACAAATGCTAAAAATCAATTTTTGGAATAATGTTCCCAGAACGAAAAAGGTGGAAATCAACTATGAGGTCTGTGTAGCGTGCAGGCAGTGTACACCATGCACATACAAGAGTTGTCTTGTGCTGTAATGTTAGTTCATCTCAGAAAAGGAAATTATTTGAGTGTACGTGTGTGTGGACAATAGAATTTGAGTCTGTGTGTTTGTTTGATCTTGTATGTGTTCAACTCTGTTCAGTCTAAGGAAGAGAAAAAAATTGCAGGTTGGGGGAGAGAATATTTAAAATGAATAAAAATAATAATGGAGATGGGCCTACTAATACTAAAATGATGACAACAATGTGGTAACACTAATGGTGATAAAGGTGACAAGGAAGGGGGGTTGGCTGTGTGTTCACCCCAACCACTGGCAGCGAAGCAAGACCAAGAACACAATCGGGGAGGTCCAGAGTGGCTCAGCTAGGTCAGGTCCGTTGGGTCAGCTGTGTTGTTGTAGCCTTTTGTAGTTACTTATTTTTAGAGCCAGCATTTTCACTCTTCTGTTGTTGCCTACAGTAGTGATGTTTATTTTTGGCACTCAAACATGCATGTGCAAACTATCATGCAATCAAGTATAACAAAGCATCACCACAGCTGACCGCAGTAGGCTAATAAGGCCCACAAAAAATGAAAATGCTTGTGTTCAGTGTTACAACCATTAAATCCAATGAAGCTAAAGCCTGAATTTTCAACCAAATGAGTAATGTATCAAATAGCACTGGCTACAACTGTATTTTTCTCCACTTTGGTTTCTGCCTTGCATAGTTAAGTGAACCAACCTTGAGAATGAAATGCTTCAGTGTCATAAGCAAATCTGCTAATCATGGTTATTACACTGAAATGAACTGAATTTGGTTAGTTTCACTTTAATATGTACTGGTGCCATCAAGCACCAAGACTTCTTTATTGTATTCATTCTTGATGTTATTGTCTATGATATAAATAGAAACGGTATGCCTGGATTTTTTTCCTGCACTTTGGGTATGCAGCCTTTGCTGCTCTTGGTTCCTCCTCTCTTTGCCTGTCTCCAGATTTCTCTGTTTTCTGTGCAGGTCGCAGTAAGAAGCATGAGGATGAGGGTCCCAGTTCTATGGTGGGTCTGATGCCAGCTGGTGGAGTCATGAGCAGTCAGCCTCAGGGCGGCTCTGAGTTGTCATGCACCTGTAAGGCAAGCAGCTCCAGCCTGATTGGAGGCAGTGGGGCGGGCTGGGAGGGCACAGCTCTGCTCCACCATGGCAGCTACATTAAACTGGGCTGCCTCCAGTTTGTTTTCAGCATCACAGAGTTTTCCAGTAAGCACCCCAAAGAGGAGCGGACTGCAACACTTGCCACCAGTTCTATTAGCAGCAGCAGTGCAGCCAGCACCACTACCAGCACTGCCCCCACCTCCACACCACCACCACCATCTAACACTGCCACAGTGAGCAGCACCTCAAGCCAAGATGAGGCTGACACTGAGTGTGTCCCTCCCCACCAAGTGCCCGTACTGCGCTCCAATTCTGTTCCATAACCCACACAGGAAGTCCGGTCCTCTTTTGTTTTGCACCTTCTGAGTCACAATTAAGGCAGAGCTGACCAGCAGGTTGGTAAACTGAAGTGTTTTTTGAATTTTATTTTTAAGGGTTTATAACTTTGCATGAGTTAAAAGTATTGTTGACAATCTCCTTTGTTTTTCAGTGACTGACAGTAACTTTCAGTTCACTTCAGACTGAGTACCATTATTTACCTTTGCTCAGTTTTTCTTTTGCCAGTATATTAGTTAAGTATGGTGTAACATTACTTTGTCGGTCAGCCCATTTAGCACAAACTTTTTATTTTGTAGTATTGGATTCCATGTATTCTAATTTCTTTTGCTGCTTTTGCACCACAGGTAGCTACATATGTATGAAAACATACATGCTTATACACTATAATATGTATATACAATGTAAATGTATACAATTCAGTGCCTCTCAATTTGAGAAACATTGGATTTCATGTAGATTTACCTTTTTTTTTTTTGGTTTTTAACTGTACAGTTCATGGAATTTGTGATACTGTGTAGAGTACCAGAGGTTTTGTGATAAAATGTTCTTAGTCTATACTTCCACTGTAGTGCATCTGTAAATACCATATTGTTTTAGCACTCATTTTAACATCTTGTGCTGCTCTGTATATAGCACTCTTTGTCAGTATCTGCTTGTCTGTTCAAACCTGTAAATACAGAAAGATTTTCTAAGAACAACTCAATGGATGCGTGTCTTCTGTTATCAGGTTTTTCACCAGGTTACCCAACCGTTTTTCAGAGTGGGCCAGATTTGATTCCTGAGTGCTTCTTGACATACATTTGAACCATAACTGTGACGTACAAATGTACTGTACTATAACAATTTTATTTTTAATGATATAACTAAATATTTTGTTGAAATTTGTGTAACCAAATGTAAGCCACATAAGTTCTACAAAACAATATAGGAATCTTAAAAGTTCCATGAAAATAAATATCTTTACCCCTGGTTCATTTTAACTATGACTTGTGAACTATGGTGAGTAATGAAATGTTAGCCGTTAACGTTCAATACATGGTGTTCCTTCAGTCCAAGGGCATCATGCAGTTTGACTTTAAAGTTTTTTTTTGTGATGTACTGCTACTGGAAAAGGGGACAGCTACAAATACAAGCATTAGCATTCTTTAACATGAATCTAACTGCATTGCTCTTTTATAAACTTAAATATTTTAAAGGTGTAAAACATTCAGAATGTGATTTGTTCATTTTAAATGGCCAAGAAAAAGGTAACACTCTTTAAAGAGGTGAAACAACTAGATTGCAGTACACGGGCCAGGTATGGTATGAGAGCAGTGGCTGACTGGCTGGAATGAACCTCAACACAGCAGCCTCTTACTCATCAATACCTACCCATTATAGCCCTTGGCTCTGTGTCTACTGTATATGATGTGGCCATGCACATTAACATTGCATATAGACTCCAGTCAGGATTAGAATGGAATAGACGCAATAGGCCCATCACATGGAAGCAAGTGACCTTACATGTCCAGTCCAACATCTTCACTTACCAGCTCTACCCTTTCCACCTATCAGACTTATGAGCCTCCACATCACCTGTATAAAGGCAGAGCTTAGAGTCAGCTGTGATATAATGTGAGCAGTTTGTTATCCAAGTTGGACAATGCAGATGTATGCCCTTTGTCTTAGTATTGTGATCCATACCCCTGGGCTATGGTATTAGTTTTGCTACTTTATCTTAATGCTGGCTAAGTTTCACAAAACATGTAATTCATTTGAAACAACGGGAACATTGCTTAAAAATGAATTCTATAATTTTTTGAAAACTGGTTTAACAATATCAGTTTAGTTGTTTAAACACAATGGCCAATTATATAATTACAAAGAATTTCTCAGTTTACTGGAATTCTGCATTCTATTTGTTGCCATTCCCTTGGCTGTGATTATATTGTTAAAATGGTTTTCTTTCTCAGCTCCTGTTGTCTTATATTGATCCAAGTAAAACAAATCAGGCAAAAAATGTTTTCCAGTTAGTCATTACAACAATGAAAGAATCAGAACACCTTTTCAACAACTTACTGTCACTGTACATACATCATGTGGTGTCATACTGGGATAGTACTGTTAATAACATAGTTTGAACCTTATCTTATAAATACATTTGAACTAATAAAGTGAGAGGAATTTCATTTAAATTTCTGTATAAATATTATTCAACCAGATCTTTTCTATTTGAAAATTTTAAAAAGATAATTGAAGATGGGGGTCAGCTGATCAGGACAAGCTTTCAGGCAAGAGGGAGTTACACCATCTGGGCCTGGTGCCTTCCTGGTCTTTTGTTTTTTAAAAAGGCCATGCACAACCTTTTCACAGATCTTCAGGGGTGAGGGGTTACGGGGGAGGGAGATGAACATGCAGGAAGCAGCTGCTGAGTCTGAGGTGAGGTGGATGGGGGGTGTGGAGTTCTGCTTCTCAAACCTACAGTAAAACACGGGTTCTCTGCCAGTTCATGGTCTTCTGGGGGTGGGGAGTTTGGAAGCTAGTGATGTTTTTCAGGCTTCTCCACACAGACAAGGGGTTGTTGGCTAAAACCTGGTTTTATAACTTTTCAGAGTAGTTCCTCTTTGCTACTCTAATCTACCTTGTCACTGTGTTCCTGGCATGCCTGTACAGGAGCCTTTCCCCACTTCTGTAGGCCTCCTCATTGACATGACAAAGCTGCTTGTGTTTTACTGTGAACCATGGCTTGTTGTTGTATGTGCAGAAGGTCTTAGTTGGGTGCACACATGTCCTCACAAAAGCCAATTCAAGATGTCACAGTGTCAGTGAGTTCATCCAGGTCTGTAGACACAGCCTCAAATACACTCCAATCTGTGCAGTCAAAGCAGAAGGTCTTCTCTGGTAAAAGTAATCTGGGATGGGTTGCGGAACATGAAACAGGGTAAAACAACAAACACATGAGTGCAACCAAGGCAGCCATACGCAGCACCATGATGATGCCAACAGGTGATTGCAATCATGATTTGGCACAAAAGTGCCATCCAGGAAAAGCCAAGCCCTTTAGGAGCAAAGATGGGTGGAGGATTGCCAGTTTGCCAACATACGTGTGAGAATATTATTGATATGTTTAAAAACAATGTTCATTAAAGAAAAATAGGAAGGGATTTGGTTATGTCACTCTCTGCTGTGCATAACATAATTAAGATTCAAGAAACCTGGAGGGATTTCAGTGCATAAAGGGCAAATGCACAAGCCTAAGCTGGATGACCGTGCTCTCCAATCCCTCAGACGGCACTACATCAAGAATCGTCACTCCTCTATAAGCGATATAGCCACATGAGCTCAGGATGACTTTGGCACACCTGTGTCAAGTACTATGATATGTAGTTACATCCCTAGATGCTGGTTAAAACTGTACTGTGCCAAAAGGAAGCCCAATATCAACAGTGTCCAGAAGCGCAATCGACTGCTCTGAGCTCAGAGGCATCTGGGATGGATCATCGCACAGTGGACACGTGTATTGTGGTCAAATAAATCAGTATTTATATATATCTTTTTTTTTGGAAGGAATGGATGCCATATGCTCTGGACCAAAGACTTAAAGGACCATTCAGACTGTTACCAGTAACAAGTCCAAAAGCCAGGGTCTGTCATGATCTGGGGTTGTGTCAGTGCCCTTGGCAAAGGTAACTTACACTTCAGTGATGGCTCCATTAATGCTGAACAATACATAAAGATTTTGGAGCAACATATGCTGCCTTCAAGATGACATCTTTTCCAAGGATGCATATGCATATTTCAACAAAACAATGCAAAACCTCATACTGCACATATTACCAAGGCATGGATGTGGAGGAAAAGGGTACAAGTACTGAACTGGCCTTCCTGCAGTCCCAACCTGTCCCCAGTAGAGGATGTATGGCGCATTTTGAAACGCAAAATGCGTCAACAAAGACCCAGGACTGTTGTGCACCTTAAAACGTCTTTGCAGAAATGTGCAACAGTACCCCTGTGGTCACAAAAACTGACAAGTCACAGATTTTGGTGTAACACCAGAATCAAATTCCTTGTGTGTTCAACAGAACTGACCGATAAAGCAGATATGGGTTCAGATCTTTTGATATAGGTCTAGAGCTGTAGCGTCTATTTGTGGTGCTCTTTTGACATTTATTCTTTCTTGCTATTATATGTTATTTATTATTCTCCTTAAGCTCATTGGCGTTCTGTTTGTTTTTGTTCATTAAAAAAGGGGAAGCGAATCGGATGTTACTTAAACTGTAGTTGTTGGTTTGCCCTTCAAAGGAAAATATTTTTTAGTACGCGAGATAAAATTTTTATTTTAAAATTATATTATCTTACCACATTCGTCAAATGACTCCACTTTAATTTTATTTTCAAAATTTCACAACTTTGATGCTTAACCATATACACTCCGTGTGCTTAACAAACAGTAAAATATATTTGGTTTATACACAAAGATTTTATTTTGAAAGACTTGACGGGACATTTGTAGTGCTTGTCTATCGCAGTGATGTCGGCATTGCTTTTCCTTACAGCAGCAGTAGTTTCATTTTATATCATAGTATACTACACTGTGTTCAGTGGAACGAGATGCTCCAGTTCAGTGAAGCTGAAGGGGAAGACGGTCATTGTTACAGGTAATGAACCTCGTCGATGAGGTTCTGTTAATTAACCCCAGCTTCGTTCTAACCTCGTTCAGATGCACATTTCAAAACCATCGTAGTCTCCAGCCTTAAGTGTTTTCTCTTGTAAAAGTAGACCACGATGTCTCAACACATTAAGAAGGCACAAATAACCTTTGTGTGATCATTCCAAGTGTGTTCTTGGATGCGGCGTGTTCTACTCCTCGTTCATGTGCGTCCAAGCAGCACTTGGCTCAATACTGCCACAGGGCTTCCACGCGTCCTGGGAAACCTGGATTTTTTAAATAACGTTTTTGCAGTAATGGAAAAGTCATATAAATTGTACAGTGCCCTAGAAAAACATTACGCCATATTGGAAAATAATTTTCACATTTCAGTACTTTCCTCTTGCTGTCAAATCTTAATTATGAGGTGGCAACTGAAATTAGAGCAATGTATGAGATCAACCCAAGAGTAGCTGGCTGCAGACTAGTGATGTGTGGTTCACGAACGTTTCGTTCATTTAGAACGAATCTTTCCAATGACTCGAGAACATCGGGTCGTCTCGGGGAGTGATTCGCTCATTTTGTGTTGACCACGCATGCGCAACATTGCATAAGATTAGTACACCTTTGGAGTAGTTCGTTTTTGAACGAATCTTTTAACGATTGGTACACCTTTCGAGTCGTTCATTTTTTAATGAATCTTTTAAGGATTAGTACACCTTTCGAGTGTTTCGAGTCATTTGTTTTTGTAACGTGACATGACCGCCTTGTTGGACACAGAAATTCATTTTAAACCGTACTTACAGTTTTTTTTTACTCTTACTGTTACGTGATGCATTTATTTTTATTATAAAATAGCTTTTTATTTCCTACATACTATAATTCATAGTTGTAATATGAATTCATAATTTTGTAAACATCTGCCAGTATGGTTCTTTTCCATAACACTGAATGTTTGTTTTAATAAAGAGTTGGTTAATGCTTTAAACTTCACCAGGGAAAATCTTTCTGTATACTATACAGAAGATGGCACGGCATGGCATAGCTTAGCTTATGATGATGTTACGTGACAAAAGACCAAATGAATTTGACCCAAAATATCCAGAGGTGAGGTGATGAAGTAACAGACTGCATAGCCTCAAGACACAGGTATGGTATTACTTATAATATGACCTTGGCTGCATTACATTTCTTTCTTGTTTGAAATGTGAACCAATATAGATGGGGAGTTAACATGTAACATTTTAATTACATTCTGCTGAAGTGAACGAAATGACTCGAAAAAAGATTAGTACATTTCGCTGAACGAGATTCAAAGAATCGCATCAGTAAAATGATCTGAACTTCCCATCACTACTGCAGACAACAAGATGGTGGACAGGTGACCTTTTTCCCTTTTTACAACTTTATTTTAAAACGTTGCTTACAACACTTGTAAACAATATGTTCTTAATTTTCATTTGAAAAAATTAAAATGATTTTTGTATTTAATGAGGTAGCCATCCCTGGTAGGCTAGTGGTTAAGGCGCAGCGCTCTCGCCGCTGCGGCCCAGGTTCGAATCAGAGTTACGTCAGGACGGGCATCCGGTGTAAAACACGTGCCAAATGTCAACATATGAGTCGTCAGTGTGACGATTCGCTGTGGCGACCCCTTAAAGGGGAAAAGCCCAAAGTGACTTTCTTTCTATTTAATGAGGACATATTTAAAATCAAAATTTAGAGCTTGCATTAGAATTGTCCACAAAGAGGACCAGTGCATAGCTCCCTGGGGAGTCAAGTTGTTGCAGAATGTAATGCAGTGCCATATTGACTGCATCATCCACTGACCTATTTGCTCGGTAGGCAAACTGCAGGGGGTCCAGTCGGGGGTCTACGATGTCCTTCAGGTGGGCCAACACCAGTCTCTCAAAGGACTTCATAACTACAGATATCAGGGCAACTGGTCTGAAGTCATTCAGTCCGCTGATGGAGGGTTTCTTGGCGACCAGGATGATGGTGGAGAATTTGAAGCAGGAGGGGACTTCACAAAGCTCTGGTGATTTACTGAAGATCTGTGTGAAGATGGGTGCCAGCTGATGAACACAGGTTTTCAGGCAGGAGGGAGTCACACTGTCTAGGCCTGGTACCTTTCTGATTTTTTTGTTTTTTGAAAAGGCTCGGTCTGAGATGCAGTGGGTGAGGCATGTGGAGTTCTGCTTCCCAAACCTGCAGTAAAATACATTCATATGCCAATTGACGGCTCTCCACAGCAGTCGGGATGGTTTCATGGAACTGGTGAGGTTGTGTAGTTCCTCCACATTGATGACAGGTCATTAGCCAAACACTGATTTTTCAGCCTTCCAGAGTAGCTCCTCTTTGCTGTGCTGACCTCCTTTGTCAGTGTGTTTCTGGCCTGATATACAGGGTCTTTTCCTCACTTTTATAGGCCTTCTCTTTGGCACAACAGAGCTGTTTGAGCTTCACGGTGAACCAGGGCTTATTGTTGTTGTATGTGCAGAAGGTCTTAATGGACACACACACGTCCTCTGATGTATAAGCTGATGTATTATGTCACTGTATCAGTATATTCATCCAAGTCTGTAGCGGTAACCTCAAAGACACTCCAGTCTGTACAGTTAAAGAGGCCTGCAGCTCTAACTTTGCCTCCTTGGTCCATCTCCTCACTGTTCTGACCACAGGTGTTGCAGCTTTAACTTTCCATCTATAGGTGGGGATGAGATGAATCATGCAGTGATCCAAGAGCCCAAGGGCTGCACATAGGCATCTTCAATTACAGTGTAGCAGGTGAAAGAAGGCAATGGAAATTCATGCTGTATTTCCTGATAATATTGCCTAATGCAGGGGTGGGCAATTAATTTTTACAAGGGGCCACATGAGAAACCTGAACTGTGTTGGAGGGCCGAACCAACGATAACTTGAACCTAATTCTGCTCAATATTCATTATCTCCCATTGTAAAAAGCAGTAAATTATATGTGTTGATTAGCTGCTACTGGTAATCAGAAGAATAAGCATATTCTATAAATATTTATATAAATATATGAAATTGTGGTGTAGGTCAAACAGGAAAATACTCCTATAGAAGTAATAAACAGTAAAAAC